TTCGTGGCAATTATCATTGCTACACACCGGAAGACGACATGGGGAAGGAGGGGAGGAGGACCCACGAGGGAGGGGGGGAGCGGCGGGGGATCTAAAATTGAGGTGAAGAATAATGGTTTTACAGATCCGTCTTGCTTATCAGACAGGACTTTTTTTTCCCTAAAGGACTGCGCTACTCTTTTTAAGAGCACCGAGTTGGATATCCCCGACGATAAAGATAACACAACTCCCTTTCCGCCCCTCTCCCCCCTCCCCCCCCCCGCCACCCCCTCTCACATCGCCTCCACCATTACACGAATTGCCAGGAACTCCACCCATGCATAGCCCCGTTCCCTCCCCTCCCGTTTCCTTCCCTTCACTTGCCTTCTCCTCTCCCAGTTGGTCTCTTCTCTGTGCCCTCTCTTCGTATGTTTGTTGGTTTTGCATTTTTGATAGCTCTAATAAATATCTTAGATCATGGCTTAAGATCATAATTCCACATCTTTAATGCTCACTCTTTAGTCTTATAGACGACTAGGGCGCCATAAGGTGGCTGCCTCCCTCACGTCTCGTACAACTTGGTTATTGTGTTGGTCAAATTTCACAAACAATAACATTTCATTAAATTTTTCATAGACATTTATCTTACCCTCCGACCGAACCGACCCTCTCGAAGGACCATGGGACTAGTGCCTTGCGGGTGGAGCCAAGGGAATTGTTTCCAGTCTTAGCCTCTAGAGTTGATCGAAGCCAATTGGGTTAACAGACGGCGATAACACACACTAAAGTAGAGAATCAAGAAATTCTCTCTCTCTCTCTCTCTCTCTCTCTCTCTCTCTCTCTCTCTCTCTCTCTCTCTCTCTCTCTCTCTCTCTCTCTCTCTCTCTCTCTCTCCCTCTCTCTCTCTCTCTCTCTCTCTCTCTCTCTCCTCTCTCTCCTCTCTCTCTCTCTCTCTCTCTCTCTCTCTCTCTCTCTCTCTCTCTCTCTCTCTCTCTCTCTCTCTCTCTCTCTCTCTCTCTCTCTCTCTCTCTCTCTCTCTCTCTCTCTCTCTCTCTCTCTCTCTCTCTCTCTCTCTCTCTCTCTCTCTCTCTCTCTCTCTCTCTCTCTCTCTCTCTCTCTCTCTCTCTCTCTCTCTCTCTCTCTCTGCCTTTTCCAAAACATAGCTGAGTGGACTCTATTGCAAGTCAACGAGGTCAAAGATCAGGACATTTCTGCACGATGAACAGATATCTAATAATAGCAACATTACTCGAGTGACGTCATCCCGCGTTAAAAACCGAGGTCATGAAAAGCATGTCCTCCTTACCCCACCCCCCTCCCTCCCCCGTGACCTTTTCTGTGACGGAAGCGAAGGTGAGTTTTGGGAAACAGCGGACGAGGCAGAGGAGGTGGATTGTGCCTGGGTGTGTCGTGTTAGTATACGTGGGCGTGAGTCTGTGTTTGTGTATGCGTTTGCATTGTGTTCGGTTTTCATTTTTCTCTTCTCTTCTCTCTCTCTCTCTCTCTCTCTCTCTCTCTCTCTCTCTCTCTCTCTCTCTCTCTCTCTCTCTCTCTCTCTCTCTCCCTCTCTCTCTCTCTCTCTCTCTCTCTCTCTCTCTCTCTCTCTTCTTTCTTTCTTTCTTTCTGTCTGTCTCTCTCTGTCTCTCTCTGTCTCTCTCTCTGTCTCTCTCTCTCTCTCTCTCTCTCTCTCTCTCTCTCTCTCTCTCTCTCTCTCTCTCTCTCTCTCTCTCTCTCTCTCTCTCTCTCCCTCCCTCCCTCCCTCTCTCTCTCTTCTCTCTTCTCTCTCTCTCTCTCTCTCTCTCTCTCTCTCTCTCTCTCTCTCTCTCTCTCTCTCTCTCTCTCTCTCTCTCTCTCCCTCTCTCTCTCTCTCTCTCTCTCTCTCTCTCTCTCTCTCTCTCTCTCTCTCTCTCTCCTCTCTCTCTCTCTCTCTCTCTCTCTCTCTCTCTCTCTCTCTCTCTCTCTCTCTCTCGAGGCAGAGGAGGTGGATTGTGCCTGGGTGTGTCGTGTTAGTATGCGTGGGCGTGAGTCTGTGTTTGTGTATGCGTTTGCATTGTGTTCAGTTTTCATACATTCATTAGATTGCTCTTTTCTCTTCGCACCCGTTTTTTCTTCCTTACGCTGTCACTAACATGATTATTATCATTATCACCATCATCGTTATCATTATTATCATTATCCTCCTCTTCTTCATCCTCATTATCTTCTTTTCCTTCTTCCTTTTCTTCTTCTTTTTTCTTCTTCTTCTTCTCCTTCTTCTTCTTCTTCTTCTTCTTCTTCTTCTTCTTCTTCTTCTTCTTCTTCTTCTTCTTCTTCTTCTTCTTCTTCCTTCTTCTTCTTCCTTCTTCTTCTTCTTCTTTCTTCTTCTTCTTCCTTCTTCTTCTTCCTTCTTCTTCTTCCTTCTTCTTCTTCTTTCTTCTTCTTCTTCTTCCTTCTTCTTCTTCCTTCTTCTTCTTCTTTCTTCTTCTTCTTCTTCCTTCTTCTTCTTCTTCCTTCTTCTTCTTCTTCCTTCTTCTTCTTCTTCCTTCTTCTTCTTCTTCCTTCTCCTTCTTCTTCCTTCTCCTTCTTCTTCCTTCTTCTTCTTCTTCCTTCTTCTTCTTCCTTCTCCTCCTTCTCCCATTCCTCCTCCTCCTACTACTACTACTCCTAAACATCATCGTGATGGTTTTCGCCATTTTATTTTTGTTTCTTCTTCCTCGTCGTTCCCGTGGCCTTCACTCTCTCTCTCTCCCTCCTCTGCACTCACATTGTTCAGAAGTTACAACACCGGCGGGTCGCTGACGCAGAACAGACCACAACTTCCTCGGCGACTGGGAGGCTAAAGAGAGGGGGGGGTGACGGGGTGGAATGGGAGGAGGGGCTGTTAGGCCTATAAGTCGAAAGTTTCCCTTTTTACTACCTTCTACGAGTTCCCTCAGAGTTTGTCTGTCAGAGTCTTCGTCTGTCGTCCGGCTACATTGTTTTCGCCGTCGTGCAACGAACGGCTGTTAATTTTCCTCCACTTTCGGTGCCACATGTACGTGTAATTATCAAAAAGAAATCGTGTACACGCGCACACAACACACACGCACATCAACCTCATTCCGCCTTTTGGAAATGACTGTGCAGTGAAAATCAGCGAGGAAGTGTGTTAGGGTGTGTGGCGCCAGCACGTGAAACCGCCACGTAGAAGAGCCACGTGTTGGAAACGGTCTCCTCACGTTCTCTTTTCCCACGCACGCCACCTTTGCCCTTATGCAGTGTTACGGTAGGGGTCGAAGTACTGTACAAGCATCAGCCAATGAGCGGAAGTGAATTGTTTTCTTTCTCAAAGGCGGGAAGAGGAGGAAGAGTTGGAAATATTTAAGAAAGAATTGAAGGCAGAGAAGAAGGGAGAGGCAGTAAAGAGGTCTGACGTGAGACGAATGAGATTTCCCAGACTGTATAAAAAATATTCGTCCACGAATCTTTGCTTTCACAAATTCCCGCATCACTAGGTTTTATGTTTACATATCTTTCTGATATATATATGGAAGGAGGATTCAGATTTTACATGTTCATAGAATATTTATATAATTTATATGCATCCAACTCACACGGTGATTGTACAAGTTTAAGTCACTTGGGTGTACGTGTAGAGCAAATGGTAGCTGTAAAGCAGTGAACATATAAACTTCGCACAGGACATTTACTAACAGGCCCTGTGTTCCGCCTCCCATGACGTAAACATATAGATGTGTACATCCACACTGCATTAAGCGTTGCCTCACCCAGTATCGAGTTTTTTTTTTTTTTTTTTTTTTTTTTTTTTTTTTTTTTTACACAGGCATCACATCCTGACAACTGAATGGCCACCAATCACTATCCCTCATCATGCGATATCAACTCCGAATATGCGCCACCTCCCCCCCCCCCTCACTCCTCATACAAGCCAGAATAAGGATTTGGGGCACATCACCCATAGGAGAGCGACCGGAGCGTAAGGAGACACCACCAGGCTCGTGACTGTTTATATTGTGAGGGAGGGTCAGCACAAAGAGGCTTTGAACGGCGACGGAAGAAGAGATTTGAAGGGGCGAGGGAAACGGGACAGATTGGGCGCCCTCCCGAGTTCCATTCGGTGAGAGATTCTATAACAGTTAGCTATGTATCAATCGTAATAACAGCAGTAGTTTGATATAATCGGAAACGATAATGCAGTGATGATGATGATGACAATAATCTTAATAATAATGATAATAATGACAGCAATGATGATGACGATTATAACAATAATAATTCTAAATTATGATTTTAATGATAAGAAGAAAAAGACGACCAAACAAAGGAAGAACAAGAACATAAACAAAAAGAATGATAATAATCATAACGAGTAATAGTAACAGTAATAATAATAATGATAATAATAATCATGACACTACTACTACTACTAATAATAATAATAATAATAATAATTGTTATGATAATAATGTTGTCATTATTATTATTATTATTATTATTATTATTATTATTATTATTATTATTATTATTATTATTATCATTATTATTAAATAATTATCATTATTATTATCATTATTATCATAATACTGATATTAAATATGAGAGGTAAATAGTAGCCGCAGTAGTACTAGAACTATTAAAATATTGGTAGTACTAGTATTACTATTTTACTACTGCTACTAGTCGTAACAGTAAAAGTGAAAGTATAATTAAAATAATAAAACGCATGCGGATCAGGCGATGAACAGAGCTCCTCGGCTGTGGGCGGGCTGCGCATAACACAGAGTGCGGGCGGCGGTCGACGCCCTTGACGGGGCGTGTGGGGGAGGGGGGGAGGGGGTATTCATATGTGTGTTTGTGTGAGAGACAGAGAGCTGTACATGTGTGTATGTGTGTGAGAGAGAGAGCTGTACATGTGTACATGTGTGTATGTGTGTGTGTGAGAGCTGTACATGTGTGTGTACGTGTGTTAAACTGGATATGTTTTTATGGTGTTGTTGTCGACTGATGAACTGGTTTGCGAGATCTTCAATGAAGGAAAAGAA